GGAGTCTTGCTCTGTCACCCAGGCTGCAGTGCAGTGGTGTGATCTCAGCTCACTGCAACCTCTGCCTCCCGGGTTCAAGTGATTCTCCTGCCTCAGCCTCCCGAGTAGCTGGGATTAATAACATAGATGCTTTAAAGGAAACTTAACCAATCACAAAATAGATACGTTAACTGATTGAACTCCCTAGCAATGTGAAGAAAGTGTTACACCTACCTGTACTAGAAAGGGGGAGAAATAAGAGAGGTCTGATGGAAAGAAAACAACTGGTGCGATCAAGGGAAAGGCAGGGAAGGGAGAATGGAGCAGCAACTATCATGTACGAAACCGTGCCAGGAGCTTTACCCACATTGTGCCGCACCCCACAACAGCCCTGTGAGGAAAGCACTATTACAACCTTCATTTTACTAACTGGGACACCCAAGGCTCTGCGAGCTGAAATAACTTGTTACAAGGCCTTTCCACTACTCAATGGAAGGCTGGGGATCACACAGGGTTGCAAAGCCATAGTCTCTGTACTGCTGCACTGACAAATCTGCTGAAGCGACCATGAAGTGCCACTTTTAGTTTCAGCACACAAACACAAATAATGGAAAATATTTGCTTTTGTTACACAGATACCATAGCAAACTGCCAGCTTCCATAAAATATAATCGTGGCCATGTGTGGTAGCTTATGCCTGTGATCTGAGAACTTTGGGACGCTGAGGCAGGAGGATGACTTGAGCTCAGGAATTCAACATCTACCTGGGCAACATAGTAAGAACCCATCTCTACAAAAATAAATTTTAATTAGCCAGGCGTGGGGGCTCATGCCTGTAGTCCGAGCTACTTTGAAGGATGAGATGGGAGGATCACTTGAGCCTGGGAGGTCCCAGCTGCAGTGAGCCATGATCACACCACTACTCCAGCGTGGGTAAGAGTGAGACGCTCTCTCAGAAACACTCAGGTATGAGAACCAGAACTTTCAAATATGGCGAGGCCAAGTTTCTCCCAGACCTATTTGGAAGCGATTCATCATGATGCTCTACCATAAGAGCAGCTACGGCAGGAAGCAGCAGCTGTGGGACCAGGTGAGGTGGGTGGGAGGCTTGGAGAAATTGGAAAAGTCCATTTCTAGACCCCAGGACAAAGAGCATAAGGCCAGAGGGTCTTCAATTCATCACTTGCCAGGTCCCATCCTGTGTGGTCACATTCTAAACTCCATCCCACCCTTGGTGATTTGTGGCAGGACAGGCAACTGCAGAGTACTAGTGGCCAGGAGACCTCTGCTCTCCCCTTTCTTGCTCCTTAGCAAGCTGTGTACCCTCATCAAGGACTTAACCTCTCTGGTCCCAAACCTCTCTTTCCCCCACCTCACAGAATAGGCTCATCGAAAGGCCCAGGACTAGCAGTCTGAAGAAATGATATCAACAAGGGCAGGGACACAGTCAATCTGGTACGCAGTGTCACGCTGTACTTGCTGAATAAGACTAAATTAGCTTCAGTACACTTATTTATAAAAAGTGGAAATGGTAACTACCTGCCAACCCCAACTGGTTCCTCTGTCAATCAAATGTAATGGGTGGGACAAGCTATACCAATGGATGACATCACTATCTCATAATGTAACAAAAATATCAGTGCCAGAGGGAGTATTATAAGGAAACTGACACTCAGCAACGTTTAATGAGTAACCTAGATTAGCAACTTCACATTCACTGAGTGATTTCACATCCAGTGTGGCATCTAGTCCACATTTTCAGTGTAAATCCCACTATGAACGACTTAAAGCAAATCATTTCATCATTTGTTCTGAACCTCTGTTTCTTCATCTGTAAAAAGAGAATGTGGGCCGGGCGTAGTGGCTCAGGCCTGTAACCCCAGCACTACGGGAGGCCAAGGTGCGTGGATCCCCTGAGGTCAGGAATTCAAGAGAAGCCTGGCCAACATGGTGAAACCCCATCTCTACTAAAAATACAGAAATTAGCTGGGCGCAATGGGGCATGCCTGGATCCCAGCTACTGGGAAGGCTGAGGCAGGAGAATCGCTTCAACCAGGGAGGCAGTTTGCAGTGAGACGAGATGGTGCCACTGCACTCCAGCCTGGGTGACGGGGCGAGACTCTTGTCTCAAAAAAAAAAAAAAAAGAGAATGTGCTCCATCTCTTCTGTTTGCCCCCTCCAAACACACCCTACCCTCTCCTCCCTGCCCTGTGTCCCCGAGTATAGACCCCATATACAGGTTTTCTGGCTCTTCAGCTTCCAGATGGGTCTGCCCAGCAGAAGGCACCAGCAGAAGAAGTTTGGTGGAAGGAAGAAAGGGAGGTCAAGGTGTTTCTTCCCCCACCCCAATCCTTGACAGGAAACTGGGGCTGCATCCCTTGAACAAAGTTATCAGCAGGTCTCAGGTGCCCTCTCCACACAACTCATATCATTCCCTTCACCCTTTCAGGCCCAAGATGGACACCAGGTTCTGGAGTTACTAGCCATGGGATACTAAACCTTCACTCCTGATTTCCCTACCCACACCTTTACTTTCTCTCAGATCATCCTAATCTAAATGTGCCACCTATTTCCTGCTGAGATCCTGGATTATACAGTAGATATCACCACCTCGTAAGGTTACAAACGAGAGACCATGTTATGACTAGATGCTAGGCACTGGGCTATAGTTACTGTTACAACAATTGTATTATGCAGACATTGTTGCTCCCAATCTGCAGATGAGGAAGCCGAGAGGATCAGAGAAATTAAGAAATTCTCACAAGGACATACAAGGGTGGAACAGCTAGAACTGAGGCCTTAACCTCCAGAACCAGCAAACCTTTCCATTTCTATTATCACCATCGCGGTCAATAATTTTTCTACCACAAGTTTCATCACCGCCGTCATTCCTACACAACAAAGTAACAGTCTCTTGGGAATGAGTGTATTTCTACTGTTGGACGTGTGGCTACGAGGGGGAGTTCTGGAATGGGATCAAAGTACGAGGCCTGACTTGCAGGAAGTATTATCTTGAGCAAGAGACTTTCCTCCACGAACCTCAGTTTCCTCCAGTAAAATGGGGATAGATAACAGGGCTTCCTTCACAGGGTGGTGAGGAGGATTCAATGGGATAACATTTGCAAAGCACCGGGCACGCAATAAGCACTCAAATGACAGGAGCTACGGTCATGAAAAAGGGGTTTGCAGCCTTGGCGGCTTTATGGCCGCCGAGGACTAGGGAGGCGGGCCAGGACACGGGGACCTGAGGACCTGAAAGACTGGAAGGTGCCCGCTGCCCACCCCCGGGCCCACCTGCTCCTCCAGTCTCTCAATCTCCAGCTGGTTCTTCTCCTCCTCTTCGTCATATTCCCACTCGTACTCCCCGGGGGAGCTCTCCGCGGAGGAAGCCATGGCGTACTCATCCCCATCGCTCTCGCTCACGCCTTCCTCCTGCTGATCCCACCCTGGCCCCACGGTCTTGTATGTCGCAGCGGCCACAGCCCGCGATAACACCTTCCTTCTTGTTCTGGCCGCCTTAACCTCATCCTCCTCTCCGTCAGCCTTGGGCCCAGCCTTGGACTCAGCCTCGGGTTCTGAAGCCGAGGTTGCGGCCGCAGTCGCCATCTTGCGCTTCTAATGACTGTCGGGTCTTCCCGCGGCCGCCGAAGACCCGCTGAGGCAGAAGCTGCCCGCGGCGCGCGCCTTATCAAAAGCCCGTTTTCTTGACACTGAAAGGGAAACTGGGAACCTTAGATAACGAGAAAATCTCCAAATACACTAAATTCATTTTATTTTATACCCTGTAAAAACTTCCACCAGAGAAAAAACTCATTATCATGGCATACGTTCCGTCACAACTTCGGACAGAAGTTGGGTCTTTGGGCAGGAAGTGGAGGCCATAGAGGAAGTCATGGAGCGAGCGTGGTGTCTGTAGTAAAGAATTTGGCGCCATCTTGAGAAGGTCAAAGTGATTCTTAGAAAAAATACCTTACTTATCGCCTAGTGTGACCTGGCGCTTGGGTTTAGTCTCCCCAACAACTGCACCTCAAACGCAAAGAAAACTGCAGGTCCTCGGGGAAGGATCGATTTCACCATTCAAGAGAAAAATCAATTTCCCAAAGAAATTCTTCCCCTTTATGTAAACGTCTGGTACCTAGGAGGCGTTAAATACACTTGAGTTTTCCGGTTTTATAAGCTCACATACTGCAAACCAACAGTAAATACGCATTTCTTTAGAAATTCTTAATTGCTAGGCACCGACATACAAATTGAATTTGCTGTTGTTTTAGAGAGAAAAATAGACATATACTCATTTTTTTTCAATCAGGACATGGTGTTCGTTTCCTTCTTAAGCTTCCCATTGTTGAGGTAGGCAAGTACTGGAGTGTGTCTCTATCTCTACCTTGCTCCCTCATTAGCAAGCTTAATGGGCAGGAATTACGTCTGTTTTGCTTTCCGTTGGATCCCCGGGTCTAGTAGAGTGCCTTGACACATAGTAGGTACTCGACACAGATGCTGGCTTCATGATGAACGAATTGTCCTCGAATTAATACAAAAGGGAAGATTCAGACTTAGCGAGCCGGTACCATTTGTTTAGGGACACACAGCCAGGAAGGAACCGAACCAGGATTCTAACCCAGGACTACCCAAGTTCGAATTCTAATTGAACCTAAGCCCTAAGCGACCTTGGACGGAGTGACCAAACTGCCCTGAATCTCAGCTTCCTTAGCTGCAAAATAGGGTTAGGAAAAGTGGACTCGGTGGTCCTCTGCGCCGCATTCCCACACTGCAGAAGCCTGAGGTCCTCTCTCAACCAGAATCCAGCACCTAGGACAAGCCCTCTAGCGACTTCAGACCTTCCCGCTCCCGACCCCGCCCGCCCCCGAGAGGCGTGGTCAAGGCGGGGCCACAGGGCGGACGCCTGCACGGAACGGTAAGGCGCAGGCGCAAAGCCTCGGTGACGCCAGAGAGGCGCGCTCCCAGCTCGGAGCCGACTCGCAGACGCGCCCCGCCCCTCGGCATCGCTCTGGACTGGCGCAGGCGCAAGCCGGCAAGATGGCGGCAGCTGGAGCTGGCCGTCTGAGGCGGGCAGCGTCGGCTCTGCTGCTCCGGAGCCCCCGCCTGCCCGCCCGGGAGCTATCGGCCCCGGCCCGACTCTATCACAAGAAGGTAGGGACAAACGAGGGGACACGCGGAATGCCGACTCGGGGGAGGCCTGGGCTGGAGCGGCGGCCGCGGGGTTCTACGCAGGCAGGACTAGCTGTCGCCTCCTACGTCTTTGCCCTGACTCACTTTCCCTTGCTGCGCAGTGAGGCTCACTGCAACTGATAAACAACAGTTACCGCTCATCAGGCTGCGACTTCCAGGGGGCCCCGCCGCTGGCCGCGACTTCGTGCATCCCAACTTTAAATTCGCCAACAGCCCAGGAGGCAGGGTCCTGTTGGGACTTGTCTTTTAGAGTCCAGGGACAGACACACCCCCGGAGCGGGCTCCGGCTTCAGCCACGCTGCTGCCCTGGCCAGATGACCTTGCGCTAGTCACTGCGCCTCTCTGAACTTGTTTCCCCAGGTGTAAATGAGGCACTCTCAGCTGTCTCTTACAAAGGATACTGTGCGTGGAATCCTGTCATGGTTCCTGGCACATAGGCCCCAGCACGAGGAGACCGTTTCTGTTACTGCTTTAGGAGTGCATAGGGGAGTCAGGCTTGTAACCAACATGCGTAGTGTTTTTGTTTTGTTTTGGGGGTTTTTTTGGTGGGGAAGGAGGGATAGATGCATAGTTTGCAGCCCCTTGCTGTCTAGTGACGCAAAGTCCCCCAGACGTGAGACTCCCACTCTGGAAACAACTAAAGAATGCCATAAATCAACGTGGCACAAAAAGTCCCTCCGTTAGATACTATCCTATAGGGGCCTTTACTTGGAGTCAAAATCCTTAGTCAGATGGGGAGGAAAAGGGGACTGGAAGATCGGGGTGCTTACTACTAACCAGTAACCACATTAAGGCCTTCTGTGTGCCAGTTCGAATGGATGTTGATTCTGATCTGGCCTCTGCCCTTTCTCCAAGGGCTTCTTCACTCCTCCCCCTCCCGGGGGTGTGTTTTGTTGAGGGTATACCGCGAGGAAACTTGGACTAGCAGCCTTTCAGCAGCCAGGGTGCGCTGCTGCACCAGTGTGATGACAGGCTCTGAAATACGGTAATGGCACTGTCTTTATTTTAAAAGACAAATAAACGTACACGTTCCATAGCATTGTTCTCTGTGTAACAGTCACCTTAAGGCTTCTAAGAAAGTTTTCCCTCCCTGGGCCATAGTTATTTTTAGAATTTTTAAATAGTAATCATCCTTTGAGGATCGTTTTTATTTGAAAATAACAAAACTGCTGTTTGAGCCCAAGTCTGGTGATGTAGGTGGGTAAAAGTCAAGTATTTTTGTAAAAACCCTATGGAATTAAGACATGATTTCACTGATTTTTTTTTCTTCTAGGTATCGCTAATCTGTGAAGTAGTTGTAGAGGAGACACAAAAGGAATTGGGGGTCACAAATGGTTCTCACTGACATGAGTGTAGACCTTTCTACTCAGGTGAAATTTGGTGATTGCCTGCCAGGTTCAAGATGCTGACTTCCAGGAGCTTGCCATCATACCAGAGACCAGCACCAATAGAGAGTGAACACGATTTATCTTAACCCTCTCATTTTAGGTTGTTGATCATTATGAAAATCCTAGAAACGTGGGGTCCCTTGACAAGACATCTAAAAATGTTGGAACTGGACTGGTGGGGGCTCCAGCATGTGGTGACGTAATGAAATTACAGGTATGGCTAGTCTTTAATAGTGATAACAATAATCCCTTTAAGTTTACAAAGCACTTGCACATACAGCATTTCACTCGGTCTCCATCTTTATTCCTGTGAGATGGGATGAGTCCATGTTAGACATGATTGGAACAGAGCCTCAATCGTAGCTCTCCTGCTAGGCTAGTGTACTATGCCGACTTTTTCCGAAATAGAAAAGTAATCTCATTTTTGTACTCACTGTATAAGTTTAAATTCCAACTTCAGCCAACGAAAGAGTTTTGTGAATTTTACTGATCAAAGGAAAATCCCAGTGAGCTAGCAGTCCCCAATGAGATAAGAAACACAGTAAATTAAACCTGTCCCCAGATTGGGGGCAACATGAAGACAGTGTCTAGTGCTTTGGGGAAACTGTTGTTGTAGCGCCAGTCTGCTGCTTCATGGTGAGTGGGCAGCTTGCCAGATCTTCATACCTATCTTGGAATACAGAAACAAAACAGGAGGAAACCACTAAGTATAATCTGCTGCCCAAGAAAAAAGTATTAACCAGAGACCTTTATTGTGGACTCTCTCAGTGTTTAAAGAGGCAGATTGCCCCAGCAGCTGTGAGAAGACTGCCTCAAATAGAAGTTCATAGCCAAAATGCAAGCCAGAGTCGCAAAACAAAATAATATTGGGGTGGAGGAACATATTTTTCAGCTGATCTTTGTCAGTTGGGCCTGGATAGTTGTCCCTGCATTTCACTTTTCATCACTGAGCTCTCTGAAACAAGGCAAAATCAGTAATTAATGCCATCACTTAGTATGGAAAGCAAGCCCAAAGCCCTTGGGGAAGGCCCCAATGAACCTTCGTGAGTGCCAAGTTCCACAGGGTGGTCCCAGGACTCACCACTTAACTCTTGTCTCTTTTCTAGATTCAAGTGGATGAAAAGGGGAAAATTGTGGATGCTAGGTTTAAAACATTTGGCTGTGGTTCTGCAATTGCCTCCAGCTCATTAGCCACTGAATGGGTGAAAGGAAAGACGGTAAGGTTGCTCACAAATCTAACAGAATGAAATTACATTCACCCCAAGCCTGTCTCTTGACGGGTCTAATGGGTCAAAAACAACCATAACTTTTTTTTAATATTCTGAATTTTTAAAGTTTCTGCTATACAGATGTTGATTATATTAATTCTTCAAATTGGGAATTATAGATCATTCTAGATGATGTTTGGGTTTTTTTCTTGTTGATCATTTTGTTTGTTTGGGTGTTAATTACATACAAAAAAGATCCTCACCTGTCCCTCTAACAAAATAGAATTTAGAAGAAATCTTTGGCTTTCTCTAAGGTTACCAATACTCTTATAATTTGTCAAGTCAGAGAGTTGTTATATGGTAGTTATTTTCTTGCTTATTTCCTCTCATGTTTCAGGAAGGGTTGGTTCTAGGTGGCTTACAAGGATTGGTGAAATAAACTAGCCTGTGTTAAAAGAGGGATTAAAGAATCAAAAACACAGCAAGGGTAGGGGCAAAGTGAACAACGAAATCAGAACAGTGATCCAGGTGGCTGATCGCAAGCCCTCTAAAGGCAGAGATAATAAAGAGCTAGAACTTCTCTTTCATCCCTTTCTCTCCGAAGTGTCTTTCCCTGGTAGCTGCAGAGGTCAAAGGTCCCAAAAGCAGTGAAGAGCTGGACTTTCTAAAATCCAGTTGCTGTCAGAACCTCTCAGAAAAGCCAACCATCATGGCACTCATCTTTGCTGCCCCAAGGGACCAGGTGCAGGGAGCTGAGTCATGGAGGAGCATGCTTGGGAGCTGGCCAGCTCCACGGCAGAGTGGTTTGCCAGGCCACGTGCCACCTGCTTCCTGTGGCTCACGGCCTTCTGGCTGGCAAGCTCCTGTGGGCCAGGAAGCTCAGACCTAACCTGCTCTGGCAGAAGGTAGCCCTGAAGTGATTTGTAAGGAACTGTCCTCAGGTGAAGGGAGAAATGAGACAAGGCACTTATGCTCCCAGAACCTGGCCCTTAGGGGACTGTGAATTGTGATCAGAAAATGGGAGAGAGAACATTTTCTTTAACCTTGAGATCGCCTATCTGAGTTTCAGGAGCAGAACCTGAATCAGCCAAGAAGGGTTAGCAGAATTGGGAAATTGAACGATAGTCAGACATAGCGAAGGAGCCCAGCTGTTGGGAAATCTGGTTTTCTGTAAGGCGGTGGGGCACTGTTCCACATGGGCGAGGATCTGTTTGCCTCACATTATCCCCCCCGGGCTGTCAACCAGACCCCAGGCGTCCTCCTCAGTTGATCTGGAGGAGATGCTCCTATAGGCAAAGGGTGACACCAGAGAGAGCGTTCAGCCTGACCCGGCTGTGCCACTGCCACTGTGCCACTTACCTGACATCTTCCCAACCTCTCTGATGCCATTTGGCACTTCTAGTCAAAAGGATTTATTCTAACATTTCGCATGAGGATATCAGAAAAGCTGATATTCACAAAACCAGTATCGGAAATCACTACCTTTTAAGGAAAAGATTCCTGACACAGGCCACAAGCAGATCCCTAAGAGACTTCTCACCGGTTCCACTCCTGGCTTAGAGAAGTGTCTGGGCGGTCTTTGCTTACCCAAGCCAGGCAGTGCAGCTGTGTATACTTCATGCTTGAGAATCCCAGCTGCAGCTTTGATAGAGTGGGAGTCATCCTGAGAAGACCCTCAGCCCTTTGAGTTATTAAACAAAAATTATCCCCACCAACCCCGAGGGCCTTTTTGGCCTCCCTTTTTTATTGTCTGGCCCTCACAAGATAAAGGGTTGCTAAAACTGCCCGTCTTTCCATTATGCCTCTCAGGTGGAGGAAGCCTTGACTATCAAAAACACAGATATCGCCAAGGAGCTCTGCCTGCCTCCCGTGAAACTGCACTGCTCCAGTAAGTCTCTGCTCTCCATACCAGTCAGCTGGGACATTTGGCAGTAATTTCAACTTGCATTTGCAACAGTCCTTTTAGGTCATGGAGCCCATGTTTATAACCCTCAGAATTAGAGCTCATGAGTCTGTCCTTACAACCTGCAGAGGGTTAGAGCCCCCGTGGTCTCACATTCATCCCTAAGAGAATCATGCCAGAAGGAGATATGCACCAGCCATCATACCGAGCACTTGATGGGCATCATTTCTAAACCTCACAGATATCCTTGAGTGCACAGTCGATGTCATTACTTTCCTCTTATGGATGAAGGAGCTGAGGCTTGGGTTGAGACACCCACGTCACATGGCTAATAAGTGGGAGAGCCAGAATTTAAGCTCCAATCTTTGATTTCAGAATCTGCTGTTTCTAACAGAGGAGAAAACTCAGCTTTCTTCATAATCCCGTTTCCTGTGTATTTCTTCACTTCCTGTCTGGATGCTATAACTGTCAGGGTCTGCATCTGTATATATGGCACAACTAAGCCCAGTTGTACAATGTCCCCCTCTCTGCTATCCTAAAAAAAAGCTCAGATGCCTTAAGACTTGTACTTGGCTTTCCAGTTTGGTCTCTGTATTAAATCTAATGCTTTTTCCATCATTTCTTAACCTTCTCAGGGAAAGAAGGAATGAGAAACATTAGCCTTAATGCATCGATGGAGGTTTACTAACCAAATTAGTTAAAAATCAGCAGAGAGTCAGGCCTCTTGCCAGGGTAATACTCACAAGGAGAAGAGCCAGGTGCCGGGGCAGACACACTAACTCATTCTTCAGGAAGCCTGGTCAGACCCAAGTTCTTTCCACTTGATCTGGAATTTTAAGTACCCATAAAGAAAGGTCATCACTTGTAAACATTTTCACATGGTTTCAGGAAATCCCTAACCCTTTTATTAGGCATTTTTAGGTACTGAAACCTTTAACTGATGTTCTCTGCTATTTGCTTGCTTTCTGCTGTCATTCCAGCTCTCTTGGTTTTTATTTTCCCCATAGCCTCACTTTGAATATTGACTCCTAAATAAAAGTGGTCAAACTCTTGATCACTAGAGGGTGATGTGGCAAATGCCATCCCATCAACAGATTGACATGATCTTTTTTCCAAAGGTCATGTCAACTTTTTATCATGATATGATTTTGTCCAAAGCCAGACTTTGATGGGAGGAGGCAAGAACTAATATTTGCTATGTCCCTACTATGTGTTAGACATCTTCCGTAAGTCCCCACACTATCCTGGCAAGAAAAGCATGATTATCCCAGTTCTATAGAGTAGAAAGTAGGTTCGAAGAGGCTAAGGAACTAGCCTGGGATCACAGATATTTAAACCTTAGTCTGTCTCCAGGATTACCCACAGGAGTAACTCAGCTCAGGAAGCAGCTGCTGACCTGCCCGGCAACTCCTCACCCCAGCTTTCTGGCTTGGTTACCCCGTTAGTCCCCACCAGCACCACTTCCTCCAAGCTCTTAAAGATTCTATTCCCAAAACCACTTCTTTCGCATCTAGAAACTTAGGCTTCTTTCCTTCCGTTACCTGTAGTGCTGGCTGAAGATGCAATCAAGGCCGCCCTGGCCGATTACAAATTGAAACAAGAACCCAAAAAAGGAGAAGCAGAGAAGAAATGAGCCCTCCCTCCGCGAAGCCTCCAGCAGGCCACACCCCTGTTTCCCACCTGCCGTGCAATCACCTTAGATGTTCAGAAGCCGCTCCCTCTCCACTGAAGAGCTATGAGATACGCACAATACTTGCTGTTCACATTATGACTCTCATGCAAGCAAAATACACAGTTTCATTGTTCTGAATCCCGTGGTTTCTTTCAGTCCACTTTTATCGCCTTAACCTAGTTAATGTATATTTTGAATTGTGTGTATGACCTCAGAACTGAAATTGATAAGTCGCAAATGTTGATAGCCCATGAAGTGCGTAAGTATCTAATTTTACCTGAATTGATTTGGAGGGAAATTACCAGTAGAATGCCTTTGTCTGAATATTTGATAGAACTAATTGTTGTACATAAAACAGATCTGCATATATATATATAAAAAATAATAAAACAATGGAAGATAATGGTGTTCTCTAATAAGCCTTGTCTCTTGGGCCCATCATTCACTCCAAAGTGGTGCCCAAAGCCCCTTAGGGTTCCCAGATGTTGGACCGCAATGACATACACAGCTCTCCAAGCAAACAACAGTAAAGGTCATGTACAAGATTTTTTCCAAAGACAAATACACATAATTTTTTTTGGAACAAGGATGAAAGGAGATGATTATCGCTTTTCGTTGTTCTTTGTGAGATAATAGTTGACAGCTCGAAGTGAGTCTTGAAGATTCTTTTTGTAATTTCACTGGTTGCTCAGATCTAAGAAGCATTGGCTTAGCACCCTAAAGATACGTGAAGAGCACCTCGGGAATGAGTTTACAATGCAGATTTCTAGGCCCAAGTTTCTGACTTCTGTCTGGGCAGGTAATTCCAGAGCCCCTGACTTTTAAGAACCACTTTAAGAACCAAGGTCATAGATGAGCCAAACTTTAGGGAAGAAACTTCTGAATGTTCTGTTCTGCATCGGTGTAGTATGTAACTGGTTCATTCTGAACTCTCTGTACCTGCATAGTACACCTGAGGTTGTTTAAAAAACATTCATCCAGCCGGGCGCGGTGGCTTACACCTGTAATCCCAGCACTTTGGGAGGCCGAGGCGGGTGGATCACGAGGTCAGGAGTTCAAGACCAGCCTGGCCAACATAGTGAAACGCTGTCTCTACTAAGAATACAAAAATTAGCCAGGCGTGGTGGCATGTGCCTGTAATCCCACTACTCGGGAGGCTGAGGCAGGAGAATCGCTTGACCTGGGAGGCAGAGGTAGCAGTGAGCCAAGATTGCACCAGTGCACTCCAGCCTGCAAGACAGAGCAAGACTCTCTCAAAAAAAAACCCAGACAAACAAGCATTCATCCCTGGCTTGGGCATAAGTCTAAGCACGGTTCCTCCTACCCTGATGTCTCCCTATTCTTAGCTACTCATAGTCATGCAAATCTCAATAAAGGATGCCCTATCTTCTAGTGAAAATGGGTTATTGAAATATTGACTCCCATGGTCTCAAATGTTCAACTTCAAAAGTAAGATGTGTTTGTTTTTTCTGGTGGTGGTTTTTTTGTTCAGGCATAGGCTGGCTGCCTCTTAAATATGCCTCCCTTACTGTTTTTTGTTTTTTTTTTTTTGTTTTAATGCTCTGGGTTCTGGTGGAGGGCGCAGAACTTCAAAGACTGTTTCCTGTGTAGTCTGTGAAGGCAGCCACAGACCAGGGACTTTATAGGAATCTCAAATTAGAACCCTGGGTAGAACCATGTAAAATTGTCATGTGTGGCATGTTCTGCAATTTAATTCACAGTCCCTCTAGACTGAGCTTGTCTCTCCCTTGTTTATTACATGTGGCACCACCACAATTCCCCACCACTTTTCTTTGTGATTTTTTTTAATTTAAATGAGACATTTCTGTCCCAGTTAACGTCCTCAGAGTTGACATCAGGAGGAGCTTATAAACAACCGAAGCAACATTCCCAGAAGAGCCCAAGTCTCCAAATGTGGTTGTGCTGCTAAAATGAATGGATATTTTTTAAACTCACATTAAAGACACCCTTTCCCAAGACAAATCTAGTTAGAGCCACACGAGGGCATCATGTGCCCTTCAGTGAGCTCAAGTCTAGGGGTTTTGCAGCCTCCAAATAGGTCTTAGCATCTCTAAATAAACCCCTCCATGGAAAACCTCCACAGGTAAGTTAAAACTGTCTGTTAAGCATCCGTGCTCTGTGCCAGGCCCTTATATTTGTCATCCTGTTAATTCTCATGACAGCCCCCTGCGGTGGGCATTGTTTCAGACAAGGATACTGGCTCAAGAGGCCAACTGACCCTCAAGCCAGCTGGATTGATTTGAGTGACCCAAAGCCCATTCTTCTGCCTTACCCCTCCTGGCAGAACACACCAGGGATTCAAACTGCATATCTGAGGTTCACCTGTGCCTTGAACATTCAATGAAATAGCTGAACCAACACAGGTTGAGCCTGATGCATCCACTTGGCCAACTGGCTGCCAAGCACCATGGCCCTCACGCCAACCCTGGCTCCCACCAGGAGCCTAATTAAATTCTGAAGCCAAGTTAAAGCCAGTGCTCTGGAGGTGGGGCCTGGGCACTGGCATCACCTGATGGGCTGGGTGAGTTTATGGGTGGATGGATGAATGGATGGACGGGGAAGCAGAGGCTCTGAGAGGTGAAATGACTTGCCTCAAGGCACACAGCTAGGAAGTGGTAGAATCAAGCTCTGGCTGAGGTCTTCTGCTCACCTCCCACCCTCTCCTGGGTGCCACACTACAGCTATGACCACATCTCAGATGTAACCTTTCCTCAGCGTGATTCCTGGACCAGGGCTACCCGGGACCACATCCAAATGCACAGTTCTAGAACTTACATTAAGCATTGTCCTGTAAAAACTACTTGGCCCTAGGGTGAGTTTTCTTAAAAAGACAAACAAATGAGGCGTACTTCTCAATACTTCAGGCCCTTTGAACTTGAGGCAAGAGTGAAGACCTTGTATCTATCCTCACGACAGAAGAGAAGACTTCTAGGTCCCGCCAAGTTTTGGTGGCGTTAGAGAACTCCTGCAGATGAGTTCCAGCCAATGGCTCTTTGTGGCCTGTCTGCTTGCTTTCCCCACCCTCCGAGATAATATCAGCCAACCCCTCAAAAGGCCACCTCCCCAGAGAAGATCATCTCCACCCAGGGAGGAAGCAGCAGGGCAGAGTGGAGTGAGCTTGGAGTGTTGAATCAAATGCTGGCTACTGTTGTGTAACCCTGAGCAAAAGGCTCCACCTCCTCAAGCCTCAGTTTATTCATCTGCAAAATGGGAACAATAATAGTACCTACCTGATCAGGTAGACCTGACGATTAAATGAGATAATACATGGAAAGCACATGGCACATAGAGTTCATTATTGGGCCAGGTACAGTGGCTCATGCTTGTAATCCCAGCACTTTGGGAGGCCAAGGCAGGAGAATTGCTTGAGCCCAGGAGTTTGAGACCAGCCTGTGAGGCAGGATAGGTAGTCAAGGAAGTGACCATGTCCTCAAGATGCAGCATCCTTGGTGACTATACAGTCAACACAACAAGCCTCAGCATTCGCATTGTAATTGAGCTCACTCAAGCAAAGTGATCTTCAGTAGGGACTTTCCCCTCTAGAAAGCATACGCACTTTGATTTTACTGTCCTCACACTGACCCTTTGTGCATTAAAAGAGTAAAAAAGACACCCCTAGGTGGAGATTTAAGATGCTAATGAGACATGCAACATATGAACAAGCACGTACAGCTACTGTGCATGGGCACTGAGAGGACCACCCAGAACATGCTTACTAGTAATGCCTCTCTCAACCCCTTATGAATCATCATGTAAAAGCCCCTCAAAGGGAGTCTCCCAGCAACAATCAATGCTGTCTTATCCTTACAAGCAGTCTGCCCTGAATCCCGTCTCTCTCAGGGTGTCCTGTCCTTTCTGTACCTAACTTTCAAAATGTTCTTTTTCCTCTGCAATAAATTACTCTATGCTGCACCTCCCCTTTGCTATGTGTCTCTTGTCTATAGTCTTTTAAACTCAGAAGGCAAGAACTGAGATCTCGCAACAGCTGTCAACACCTGGATGTTGTTGGCAAGATGGCCAGACCCCATCTCTACAAAAGCACCACTGCCCTCCAACCTGGGTGAGAGAGTGAGACCCTGTCTCAAAAAAAAAAAAAAAAA